AACAAGTTTTTAAGGAACTTGTAAACCGTTCACGGATCATAAAGGCAACCACGATAAAGGGACAACGAAGGCAACAACGATTGACCCGTGAAGGTTACACCCCATTCATAATCCATGAGATTACTAACTCCATATGGTTCGGAACCACGAAAGGAGGATCGGGGATGATGGTATAAAAGTGAGTCATGGAGTCACATTTGCCCGTATTGGCCTCTACTCGATTCTTATAGTGAAAAATGATTCCTGCGATCTCAAAGGCATACAAACAAAATATTCAATTTGCTCCAAACTATTATTATGCTAAATTGGTTTAATATTAATGCACACATTATTCTAAAATATTGTGATCACTTCAATTAATAACAAGATTAAAAAGGAACCTAAACCGGTTGTCCAAATTATCTTATTAGGCGTGATTTTCAATTACATATTCCCTTTAACATGCAATATGGTGATCATAATAATAACTAATAGAATAAACATTAATATTGGAAGCAATTCAACAATAATAGCGTTAGTCAAATTAAATATGAAATAACCTAATCATGATACTAGCAATAAGAAAATAAAATAAGAGTAATTAAATTAATTAATTACTCACATTCCGCGCGTTCCTTTAAATTGCTACATCATGAATAAACTGTTAGTAACTTCAATAAAAAATATAAAGTAAATGGAAATTAAATTAAATAAATATTAGATTTGATTTGGCCCAAACCCTCAGTTATTTGTACCTTTCACGCCTTGGTTTAAGGACGGAACCTCGGGTTAAGTATAGACTCCTTGGAGTGCTTAGGGGAATTGTTATGAAAGAATAAGGAGGCTAGAAATTAGGTTAAAGAGGGAGAAGAGAATGATTTTTGGTGTAAGGTGAGAGAGAATGATTATTGGTGCCCCGAACTGCAGAAAAGGGGGGGTATTTATAGAGAAAATGTGCTGAAGGAGCACACGAAACCCTAAAATGATAAAAACCCTAAAAAAGTATCCCGCGACACGGAAAAGTGTACCGTGACACGGGAAATCCCACCGTCAGATGGGAAACTTTTCCGTGACACGGTACAAAATTGCGTGACACGGGAAATATTTAGGTTACGGGAAGGAAAACGCGTTAAGGGTTTACGCGGAAAAGACACGGAATGTCCCGTGACACGGCAGTATCCACTGTGACACGGTACAGTACACCGTGTCACGGTATGAGAGACGCGGAAAATACACGGAAACAGCTCCGTGTCACGGGAAATCCCACCGTCAGACGGTGTAAATTCCCGTGACACGGTGGAAAATGTCGTGACGCGGGAGTTGTTTAGGTACGAAGAACGCAAATAAGACACGGAATAGCCCCACGTCACATCAAGGGCACCGTGTCATGGGGATTCCCACCGTCAGACGGTGCAATTTCCCGTGACACGGTGGAATTGCACTGTGCGCGGTGATTCCAAGTTTTTACCCGTTTTTAAAACCATCATAACTTTTGATCCGTAACTCGGAATAAGGCATATAATATATCATTGGAAATTTTATCAAGTCTACTTTCCAAAATAATTAGAATCAAGTCAAAATAATATGTATATTTTAAGATATGGTCGTTTTAGTGTAAGGGTGTCGGTTTTAGGCCGAGTTTGGTGTTTTGCTCATATCTTTTTCGTTATAGCTCGGAATTGGGCTTATGATATATGGTTGGAAAACTTATTTAAAGGCCTATCCAACAAAATAATAACTGGATCAAAATTGTATATCCATAAAATCAGTTTCTCTCAGTTTTGCGATGTGGACACGAAAAGTAGAAAATAGGTTATGGTTTAGGGATATGAGCTAGAAATTGGATTGGTTCATGAAATATGTTGGATAGAACATGGATTTAAGCACTCCAAAGATTAAATAATCAACTCGACCAATAATGGTGGTGAAAGGTGTTCATCAACGGGTTTGGTTTTGGGGAGACATTTTTAGGTGTTTACAAGTTCGTTGATTAAGGGTTCGGTTCATAAGTACAATACTTTGTATTATTACGAGTCTAAGATATATGACGAAGAAGGAAATATCGGACCAAGTACGAGGCCACGAACCATAATGACACTTAAATTATTGGCCCAGTTTGTTGGCCCAAACGAAGATACAAGCAGCCCACTATCAGATTTGCTGGGTGTGAAGGAAGCGGGCCCGATCTGGCGGCCCAATGCCCGATCGGGCGAGTATGCCGCAAGTCAGTTTAGGTCGGTTAATGGGGAATTATAAAAGCCCAATCAGTGGGTTGTTAGAAAGTTAGGCAAGCTTTTATTATTAGTTTTTAGGAGCAGCTTATTTTCGTTTTTGATTTTAGTCTTAGTTTTGATTAATTTCCATAAGATTAGTTTTTGGAGAATTAGTTTAAGTTGACTTTTTGGTTCCTAGTTTTTCCTTACGTTTTTGTTTTCTTTAATTAAGTTTACTGCTTTTCATTAACTTTGATATTTATCATGTATCAGTTTGTTTTCATTGTTTCTTCGTATTTCTTTAGACTTTCGTTAATTCTCTGTTTTATTTTAGCTTGGTTAATTATTGTTTTAAATATGTTTTCTTTAATCGCTTTGATTAGTTTAATTATAATTATGCACAAGTAGTTTTATTCTAGGGTTATGGCGATCCATAAAATAATATGAAGGGGTAATTTATTGTTGTTAATTGTCAATGCTAGATTAATTTCCTATTGATTGATTTAATGCTTAGATTTGCGAAGATCTTTTATGCATGAGTTTGACAATATTGATTCGAGATTCGACAGATGAGAATTAATGTTTAGGTCTAGTTTCAATAGGCAGGTTAATTTATAAATGGTTAAGTCGAGATTCGAGAGATGAGATTTAATACCGGTAAATTAATTGTGTGATTGTAATACGTAGCGAAAGCCCTTTATGATCTGATTAATGTATGCATTGATGATTGATTATTATGTTTTACCTTGGAATATTATTTATTGGTGAACTTATGCCCTAGGCCTTTTATTCATTGTTTCTCCTCCTACTTTTATTCTTTCCCACTTTTACTCTTAATAGTTTAGTTTCCTTCGATTATTATATTTTGGTTACTTTATAATCTAGATTATATTAATTAATTAGGAATAGAAAGACTCGTTTCTCTGTGGATTCGACCCTACTTCCCTATCTACATTAGTTAGAGGATTTAGGAATTACTTTTGATTAGGGGATACGACTTTACCTTGTCAGTACACTTTCATTTATGCATAGGATTGTTTTGTGATGATGATGTATTTTGCAACGTGTCTAGTTTAAATTCTTAAAATGGGGGAGGATTGTTGAATAATTTTGAGAATTGGAGACATAATTCATGTTAATTAATTATATTACTTAGGCAAAAGTGTTGTAATTAATTAATAAAGAATATTTAAGCAATAATATATATTGAAAGAGGAACAAGGTTCACGAAATGAGAAAATCATCTACTGCTTCAAGAAGACAATGTCGATGCCCCTGATCTTCGCCCGGTCAGCTGCCCGATCGTGGTGGTGCTCGCCCGATCGGGCGCGAGGGTGGTTTGGAAATCGTCTTCTTTGCCGCCTGATCGGGCAGCCGCCGCCCTATCGGGCGCGAGAAGGGAACATAATTGACGGAAATTAGATTTCTGGAATTTGGGGTTGCCACCCGATTGGGCCACCACCGCCCGATCGGGCGCGAGAGGTTACTGTTTCTGACGTTCCAGTCAGCCCGATCGGGCGGCAGCAGGCCGATCGTGCGCGTGTCAGAGAGGAAGTTGAGACTGACGGTTTTGTCGGTTTTGCTTGAATTTTGTCAGTTATTTTCGGGACTCTTGGCTAAAGTCTTTGCTTTAATATATATATGTTCTATAAACATATGTTGGAGATACTTGAGAAAATAATTGGAGAATATTTTCTTAAAAACCTTTGCAATTTTATTTATCATCATCATAAATCCAAAAGCTTTTATACATTGAATTGTAATCATCCTACTTGTGATTGCAATTGTTCTTCGTTGAATCTCCTTAGTAAATTTCCGTGATACCCGGTTGTAGTATAGGGTCGGAATTATACTTTTGGAAAAGTGATTCCGTTCACGCCTCGAAGATTTTCCGTTCTAATTTGTTTGCTATTTTTGTGACCCTTGTTCAAACACAAGTTTCCCTAACACGAACAACCACAACCACGATCAAGGGCGGAGCCACGGGGGGGGGGGGGGGGGCTGGTGGAGGCCCGACCCCCCGTGGCCCAATTGGTGATATATGTAATTTTTAGTATGCCCCCCTAGAATAACTAATAAATAGCTAATGTTTGTCCTACATATCATGATATTAGAGATAGCCTAGTTGGTTTGTTGGAATTTTTCATGGTGACTTGGTGAGAGAGAGGTCTCAGGTTCGATTCTCCACTTTGAGCAAAAACAGCCAAGAGAAACAGAGGAAATATCTGATTATTTTGGAGCCGATTATTGTTGTGATTTCGGGGAAGGAGAGGTGGGGACGGGGAGGGGAAGGCGGTGGGCTGTTCCGATTGGGAGGACGGTGAAGTGTTGGTCATTTAGGCCGTAAAAGGGGGCTAGGGCTTTGTTTTTTTTCTTTTACGGGGCGTTTGGCACGCGGGAATGGGAATTTGGGGAATTATGGGTGGGAATTTGTTGTTGGGAATTCATGAAAGGGAATAAAAGTCCATAGTCTGGTAGCTGCTAGGGATATGTTGATATTTACTAAGAAATTATAACAAAGCCCTTACTCGTATTTTTCCCCTTCCTTTTCACCCTTCTCATTAATGGAAATTTGGTCTTTTCATACCTTTTTCGATTCCCTTCCCCTATTACCAGCCCCCCTAGGTAATAAGAATGTGGGAATTCACTGGGATTTTATTTCCCATTCCCTTAAAACAAACAAGGGAATTAGTCATGTTGGTACATATATTCCCATTCCCATCTTCTTAATCCCACTTACCAAACACCCCCTTAATTATATTTTGATTTTTAAAATTATATAAAAAGCAATATACCTATAAAAAGCTAACACGTGACATATAACTTATAAAAACTGATCACCAGGTAATGGATCTTTAAATTAAGATGGTATATAAAGGTTGAATTTTTGTGGAATAAACTTAAGGTTGAATTTTTTTAGAGAAAAAAGTGCAAAGATTGGATTTTTAATTTCTATTTTTCCAAATTAAAAAGAATAAAAAAAAAAAAAAAAAAAAACTCTAATTATCAATATTCCCAAACACGGCATTTATATACTCGTATGAGTCGTATCTAACTATTGTTATTCATCTCGCAATCAATCCAAACAATTCCTTTTCCCCCATTCCTTCAACTTGCGAAATCTGTCCCGAACCCTAATTCTCCCAAACCCAAATCGAAACCCTAGAAATTCCTCCATTAATGGCGAGCGATTCCCATGATTCTCATCGAAAGCACAGCCGTTCTTCCTCCAATGACGATTCGCCGGAGAAATCGAAGCGCCACAAGCACCGCCATCACCGCCACCACCGCCGCCATCGCCACCACCACCGCCATAGCAGCTCGAAGCATGGAGATGCGAAGAAAGATGAAATTGAGGTTGTGAATAGAGAGGAAGTAGTTGAAGAGGTGACGAAACCAGCTCCTCTTGTTGATTATGATGATATGGAGGAAGGTGAGATTGTTGATGATGAAGGTGTTCCTGGTGCTGAAGTCGATTCTTTCGATAAGAAGGTTGGGTCCGATGTCGAATCAGGTGAATTTAAGGCCGGTGATGATTCTTACATGGTGTGTTTCTGATTTCCCCTCTTTTAATTTTTTGCGAAATTGATTGATTTTTTAATTTGATTGTGATAATTAGATTAATCATATGATTAATACGAAAAGAAATTGAACTCTTTTATTGTTGGATTATTTTATGAGCTGACAAAATTTAGAATTTGTGATATAGATTTTACCATATAGTATGTACATTGGATATGATTAATGGGGCAATGGGCATCCTAAAGACGGTTACGTAAAAGACAGCATGACTTCTTTTAGGGTGAATCATGAATCCAGAAGACAATGGTTTTCAATGCGGATTTAAGTTGTAAGACTTAGTTACATGTTATTATTGCATAGTTTTTGTAGGATGTTGCATTATTTTTTTTGTGTTCGATTTGAATTTTTGAGTAATGTTTGCTAAGCTTTTTTACTGTTCCTTGTGCCACAGAGTGTTGATACTGATTTAGAAAATCCTGAAAGCAATCATAATGTGACGCGGAATGATAAAAGTGGGAAGTCTAAGAAGTATTTGAAGTCTCCTAGAAGTGATCGCAGTGGTAGTGAGGGCAAGGAAGACGGGAGTCACTCTCATCATGACGAATTTCCTGTGTCAGATAGGGTGGCTAATGGTGATCTTACTCGCAGGTCTAGAAAGGGAGAATCTAGGTCACATACAGGACATGAGTCTCCTTTAAAAGAAAGAAGCAAGGAGAAGGACCATGTAAGGACCAAAAGCAAACATGCCTTGGAATTAATGGAGGTGGATGAAGATGATCTTAGAGGTAGAAGAGATTCATATTCTCTTAAGGTTAGGGATGACCGCCATGAAGCAAGGTATCGCTCCCCTTCTCATGGAAGGTACCATCTAGAGACTAGTGATAGGAGCAGGTCTAAATCTCCTGATCGCAAGAAGGAAAGGGAACGTTCGCAGAGCATTGCGCACGAGAGGTATTCAAAAACAAGGCATCACAATGAAAGAGATGAAAAGCTATATGATAATGGCAAGGTTGGTTATGAGATGGATGGTGAAAAGGATAGTCGTGCAGGTAAAGATTACAGATCTAATGGTGGAGAAAAGGTTAAGGATAAAGGAGGAGAGAGAAGTTCCAGCTATCACAGGTCTAGTTTGCATGAAGGAAAGCATGAAGATGGTGATTCTAAGGACAATGAGACAGAGGAGAAGATGTACCGGGATAAGAAACGAGTGGAGCCAGAGCCAATAAAAGAGAGGAGCGAAAGGGATCGTGATAGGATCCGGAGCAGAGATTATGAACGGGAGAGGGATTTTGTGAGGGACAGAGAGATTCATAGAGAGGTAAAGAATGATATTGATCGGAATAGAGATCGTGGTGGGAGCAGGGACAGGGACCAAGAAAGGGATAGAGAAAGAGAAAGGAGAAGGGAGAAAGATCGTGGAAGGAGTCGGGACAGGGACCTTGGCAGGGAAAGGAGGAGAGATGATAGCACATCCATGTATAAAGATAGAGATGCTGAGAGAGAACGTGATAAGGAAAGGGACAGGTCTCGAAAGTCGGAGATGGATAGGGGAAGAGACAGATATAGTGGCAGCGATAGACATAGAGACAAGGCTAGAGATGATGAGGATGATAGGAGCAGTAGATACCATAAATTTGATGACCGTGATGATGTATACAGTAATCGTGATAGGCGCCGTGGTTATGATGAAGCAGAATATTTCAAGGACCGAAAGATGAAGCATGATCCATATGAAGATAAGGCCACTAAAGATGATTCTCTGAAGGAAAATGAAGATGCAATGAATGGGTAATTTTTGTTCATTCAAGAGCCTCTCTTTACTGTTTGAGTTTCCATGTTTCTCATTTGCATTGTATTGAATGCTGATTCATTAGTTTTCCTGTCAGGGATGATGATGACAAGGATACGCTAGAGTTGAAGCCTGCAGAGCCTGAAGAGGATGATATCGACAGAATCAAGGAGGAGAGTAGAAGGCGAAGAGAAGCCATTCTTCAAAAATATAAAGCTAAACAATCGCAGCAGCAGCAGGCTGTGCCTCAAGTCTCTAAAGGTGTGTTCTCTGTCTTTTTATTTATTCGGGGATTTTAGTATTTAGTTGTGTTTCTTTTTGTGTGCGGGTTTGCATAGTGTGTTCAAATGTTCTTTAGGTATATAAGATTGTGACTTATGGAATTTGAAGTAGTGTTGCAGTTGCCACGTGCTTGGTAATTGGTACAATTTTTTCCCTCTGAAAGAATATGTGTGCAGCTCCTTCTTGCACATTTAGCCTTGTAGTATCATCTTTTATGGGAGAGCTTCTTGGTTAAAGTAATTCATGGCTCCTGCAAATCAAGAGGAATAAAGAGGAATGAAATGCAGTCTTTTTTTTTTTTTTTTAATTGCATCCTATTAGGGACTCAAGTTTATTGAAGAGAGAATTCCTTTTTGGAAGGATAAAAGTCGATGGAAGTATGTCTTTGTTGCACCACCATTGTGTCTCTAGAAGGCAGTGTTGTTGCCTTGTCTATTAAGCTGTAGCATATTTTCTTTGTTATACCTGCAATCAGGTAAAATTTGGTGATAGATTGTTTGAAATTGATATTGAAATTACAAGTGGTTGTTTGCACAATGCCTACTACTTTTTAAAGCTTATCCCTGTTCTGTAGGCATCTATTTGTTACTTAACCATTTCAACTAGTCTTTATATTCTTGTTGTTATTCGTTTTCTGCTATTAATCGTCTGGTAATGTTATCTGTCTGAAAGGCCTTAATATTTATCTTCTATAATGTGCAATATCAGATGAGGAACTGACGAAGCAGCCTTCCCTTAAGTTGTCTTCTGCAAGCACTGGTCAAAAAGAAAATAATGGTGCTAAGGGTGATGCTAACAAGAATTCTGTAGATGATACTTCCTTATACTTGGGGAAATCTGCTCCTGGAAATGACTCAGCTGCTGCTGAAAGGAATACTGTTATGCTGGGGGAGGGTTCTCCTAAGGTATGGATTTTTCCTGTTTTATAATTCAATTTAGTTTCCTGAAGAATTTACCATGTATAATGCCTATGCACGTGTGGCATGTTGTCTTCTCTCACCTACTGCCTTCCAATTGCAGTTGAATACCGCCTGCTGTGACAGTTATTTAACAAAGAACTATTGTGGGGGCTTATGGTTGTGTTTTTGCTAATTTTTGTACAAGATGGTTTGACGGGTCCTATACTTCTATATTGTCAGACCATGTATCAGTTAGACAAAAAGCTAAATAAGTTACCAAAAATAGGTAAATGTTTGTAGATTTATGTAAAATGATGTAACATTCCTTTGATGTTAAAATAATTTCAAAATTGGAAAAGAAGGGTTAAAGTTATTTAATCGTCTGATAGAAGACCACCAGCTCGTACTTGGATATATTTAACCTTTGAAGCAGTAACTTTTAAAATTATTTAATCGTCTGATACAAGACCACCAGTTCATACTTGGATAGATTGATATATTTAACCTTTGAAGTAGTAATTTATATGTTTTATAGGGTACAATTATGTGAACCTGCAAGCTTAGTCTTTATTATGATAGCTGATTTTAATCTGGTTTGGTGTGATAGCATATGAAAAGGTCTTTGGGTTTCGAGATTAGCAATGCCATTACACTGTATTGATGTGTTTGTAATATTCTATTTGTCAAGGCTAGAATTGTTTGCATTATCATAGCTTTAACGGTTTTGTGATTAAAATATCTGGCACAGTGTTGATGGTATCTACTCATTTTAATGTATTATTGTGCCATTTCTTCTGTTGTTTTTTAAGCTTATGGATGATATTTTTTGCAGAGTGAAAGGTCAAATGATATGTTCTGTGATGATATATTTGGAGATTCTCCTGCTGGAGTTCGTAAAATGGTACGTGTGCTTATTTAAAATTATTTTCAACTCTGTATTTCATTTTAGTTGTCACTTTAAAGTTTGGCAAGTTTTGCTTCGGGGGATAAATTCTATATATTGTGATGTTGGCAACATGCCAACAAATAGTTTAATATCATCAACCTTGAAGGTGTTATTGTAAAACAAATTAGATTTGGTTGGCAGCTTTGTTATCTGTGGAAGATGAGAGAGTTATATTCATATCATACACCAAGAACGTTCTTATATTTTTTTACCTCAATGTATTTTTCTTCCTGCCTTTTTAAAGTTTTTCTAGAATGATTGTAGATATACCAGGGGTGTTATATTCTGATTCTTTTTGTATTGGGGTAGATTTGGTCCACTGGGAATTTAGACCGTATAAAATTTATATGTTGAGTTGGTTAACATGTTGTAACTTACTGAAATATTTATGTACTTCATATACAATGTCTCATGATTTTTCATTGACTTGACAGGGTAAGGGAGATGGTCTGCCTCTTGAAAGGAGTGGTCTTAATGATAATTGGGATGATCCAGAGGGATATTACAGTAAGTCTGTTTCTGATTTTGGCATTTACTTGTTTAACTGCTTTGCATTGACTTTTATGTATGATTATTCTCGTAATTTACATTGGGGTTGTAGGAGGGATGTCTATTAATAAAGGATATGCATTTACTTGTTTTCTTTTAATAAAATTCTGTAGGTGAAATTCTTTTACTTTCCCTTTTCCTTATATTGTATTTTATTCTTTAATTTCTTTATGCTCCATTGTTCACTTATTAACCACCTAAAAAGGATGTGCATAGGAAGACTTCTGTTGCATATTGAAATCAAGATTCTCCCATGCTTTATATCTATAATCATCTTGAATGGGATGCTGTGGTAGCTAATCACTATTATTTGGGGTTATTGTACCTAATTACTGCTTTATGCGGCTAGATAATCTTGTTATGTGCATCTTTTGGTATCTGGAATTCATTTGTAGATGTTAAGATCTGTAGTCTATGTATCAGAGATCTTAAGTGGTGGCGTGGGTTTGTAAAAGCATCTATTTTGCCTTGAGCCCTTAACATGGAGTTTAACTTGGTTGATGGTCTAAAAATTTAGGTTTTGTTGACAAGCTGTGTGTGATAAAAATCTCTTGTTGTGTTGCAATATTAAGAAAACTCCATCAAGTTTGTCATATTCTGACATTTTTTGGTGGGTGACGTTTCTGAGGTTTAAGTCGAGGATTCTGATATATATTTTTTAAAAGAATTTCTGCTGACTGAACAGGGGATTGCTGTCTTGTAGTTGTCACTTGTCATCTATTGACTTTTTGGGAGATGTAGGCTGCTAGCTTCTTAATAATCAAGTCTTATTACAGTTAGTGCCTTTTATGCTTCTACCCTGGCTAGGGCATGTCAATGCTTCACTTTTCTTCCTGTTAGGTTTCTGCTCTTTTTAATTGGTTCTCTATTTGCTTCTTAAAGGTTTTCGATTTGGTGAAGTACTTGATAGTCGCTATGAAATCACGGCAGCACATGGTAAAGGTGTATTTTCCACTGTTGTTCGTGCAAAGGATCTTAAAGCTGGAAGTGGGGATCCAGAGGAAGTGGCTATCAAAATAATTCGAAATAATGAAACTATGTTAGTACCTCCCCTTGTTGCACCCTTTTTATTATTGAGAATTTGTGTTATTGTGATTTTGGCTAAAGTCCTAATCTAATTACTGCTGTTCAATTCTTATGAAGGTTAAAAGCAGGGACAGAAGAGCTAGTGATTTTGAAGAAGCTAGTTGGTGCAGATCCCGATGATCGCCGACATTGTGTTCGTTATCTTTCAAATTTCAAGTACCGTAATCATCTCTGTATAGTTTTTGAATCTCTTCATATGAATCTGCGTGAGGTTCTAAAGAAGTTTGGTCGTAATATTGGCCTTAAGCTTACTGCTGTGAGGACCTATGCGAAGCAATTGTTTATTGCGTTGAAGCATCTTAGAAATTGCGGAGTTCTACATTGTGACATTAAACCAGATAATATGCTGGTAAGTTTTTGAAATTTATTGATTCACATTATTTATAAACAAGTCCAATTGTTTCTTATTTATCTAAATCTTCTGTCAATTAGGTCAATGAATCTAAAAATGTGCTGAAGCTTTGTGACTTTGGAAATGCAATGTTCGCTGGTAAAAATGAAATCACGCCGTACCTTGTGAGCCGTTTTTATCGTGCACCTGAGATTAGTAAGTTCTTTAATTTTAATTTGTGTTGCAAGACATTGTTGATGAAAACTGTTATAATGTATTTACTACATATCATCACTTACATATCAATGTTTTGGCTCATTGTTTAATGCTTGTAATTTTTCTTGGTGCAGTTCTCGGCTTGACCTATGACCACCCCATGGACATTTGGTCAGTTGGTTGCTGTTTATATGAGTTGTATACTGGAAAGGTTCTCTTTCCAGGCCCCTCAAACAATGATATGCTTCGTCTTCACATGGAATTGAAGGGTCCTTTCCCAAAGAAGATGCTTCGCAAGGTACTCACCATGGATGCCATTTTAGCATAACTAAGTAGTATTATTTATTTATTTATTTTTATGATTAGATTCTAAGATGCAGTTTCCCTCTTACAAGAGGTGGGAAACTAATTCTTGTTAAGATATATGTAGGACACTGACTTTTGAGAATAGTTATGTATTTATCTAACTATTCTTATATGTCTTGTCTTTATGTATTCTGCTTTTTCAGGGAGCTTTCATTGAGCAACATTTTGACCAGGATTTAAATTTTCTTGCGTTAGAAGAAGATCCTGTCACTAAGAAGGTAAGGCAGTAAGATTAATGATTATAGTGTATCTCAAATGAACAAAGCTGCAGGCATTGTTTTTTTAACTTAGAGCTATATGTTTGTTTTTGTGCAGACTCTTAGGAAGGTGATCGTTAATATTAAGCCAAAAGATGTTGGTAACATCATTAGGGGTTTTTCTGGTGAAGATCCAAAAATGTTAGCCAACTTCAAGGATCTGCTGGAAAAAATATTTGTCCTAGATCCAGATAAAAGGCTAACTGTTTCACAAGCTTTGAATCACCCATTTATTACGGCAAGTGAATTCAGATGCTGATTTTCTGACTCCACAAATGCTGTAGCTCTAGATTTTTGTATATTACGGTCTTAGTTTATATCACACTCTAATCATTGGGAATTTACTGTCTATCTTTTATGCACTACTGTGGGCCTGATTGGGGGAGATTGATTCTGGCGTCATTCAAGTTGGACTCAGAAGGCTGATATCTGTTGGGAGGTACTGGCAGTTCTCAATGGAATGTGTTCTGTTTCTATTGTAAGACAACTCGCCAAAGGCGTTTTTTCTTTTATTGTAATCATTTTTGATAATTTATTGTGCAATAGTACATTACATTTATCACATTTCTCTCTAAACATTTGCCTTGTGAGTTTAGTATATCTTCTCGTACTTTATTTTGGTCTGTTGCTTATAAGCACACTGGATGAATGTTGCTCAAACATGGAGCTTAAATGCTCACGATAGTTATCCATTGGAAGCCGATGTACTCTCTGCGTTTAACTTTGGTTTCTTGAATGAAAGTATACGATGCTTACATCGGTGTTGCTCTTCTTACAATCTTTACTACTTATCTTTCTGAATATTTCTGATTATATTTATCTCTTATCTAGTTTTTGTAGTTGAATATTTCTATTTTCTTTCTGCCTGGAGAGTCTAATCTTGCTTTTGATTCAGGGATTTTCCAGTTCTTGGGGGAACCCTCCAATCTTTATATGCCTAGAAGGAACCATGGAGAAGGTACCTTTGTTGTTTACTGGGATCGTTACTTTGATACCCTTGTTAGTTTGACTCATGAGCTAGTCATGGATTGCCCTTGTTAATAAACCTGAAGATTGAATTTATTTGTTACATGAAAATTATTTCGTGACAGTTTTGTGTTTTGCTTAAGTGGCCTAACACCCCAAAATAGCTCATCTGATTTCTCTATTGTTAAGTTTCATTGTGCATTTTATTTTCTTGGCTTTGTTATTTTCGTCGAGATTATGATTCCTTTTTCATTCTTTTTTCCCTCTTCATGTCTGTATTGTTCTAATGAATGTACTACATCTGCTTTATGGCTGGTCATTATGGAGGCTTTGGCTTTGAAGATGTCTGGTGCTGCTGCTTGGAAATTTTTGCAGTGAGTTCTTGTCATAGTTTATAAGCTTTTTTTCAGGATCATGCTGAATCTTCTAGGCATTAAATGACCTCCTTTTTTCTTTCTTTTTTTTTTTTTTTTTTGTTTTTTTTTTTTTTTGTGATAGGGAAATGATCCTTGCTCCTGCAACACTCTTTGTAAGTTTCCTCATTATTGTTGGTATCCTTTCTCTATCTTCTTGTTTTATTGGTTCTTATTAGGCTGTGTGCTGTGAGTCTCTTGGTTAATTGCAAAATGTTCCTTCCTTTCCCTATATTCTTTGCTGATCTTATCACATGTTACAATAGTCTAATGGGTTCAAATGTAGTGATAAACCTAATAGTTGATGCAAGTAGTCTTTGTAACCACTGATATTCACAGTTCTTCCTGTTAATAATTTTCTGCTTAGGTAGAGAATGTTGCAACTTCTGGTGTTAAATATTTCTGCTTATGTAGAGAATGTTGCGACTTTCATATTCTGGAAGATGAGATTGCTTATATTTTTGCATTTTGAGCGACGGGAAAAATTGTAGTGAGCACTTTGGTTAAAAATTATATTGTTTGGGCTGTCACTTTTGAAGCTAGGTTTTTATTGTTTTACCAAGATTGGCCATAAACAGAGATTGTGGTATAATTATTCATAGTCGATGTAGTTGTGTAATAATAAGTTCTTTTTAGTCATTCGAATTTAGTGCAGTGTACAAACAACTCCTTCCTTGGTGGTGGCTCATCTCTGCCTAGGTAAGGGATTTAAAGGAAGAGAGGAAACATTATCATAAAAATACATGTCTTGAATTTTTTTTTTTTATTTTTTATTTTTGAATAAAAAAACCCTATAAAGATTAATTGCTCTTAGCTTGTCATTGCTTTATAATTTTATACTTCCTCCGTTTCTATTTAGTTGACACGTTTGATTTGGGCACATATATTAAGGAGAGGAGAGAGGGTGAGAGAGAATGAAAAAGCAAGTGGGGTAACTTGTAAATGCAAGGTAAAAAATTTACCCCAAAAGGAAACATGTCAACTAAAAAAAAACTTCCTAAAAAGGAATACATGTCAACTAAAAAGAAAGTATGATTTTCTGACAGCATTTAGTCATATTATATCAAATAATCATTAGTAGACTAGTAATGTAGCAATTGAAACAATAAATTTTTAATCTTTTGTTAGAGGTGAAATTAATTTCAAGCTTTGGTATGAATGTTTTTCATATGGATGAATTACATGAGCATAAACTTGATTTTCTTTATTTTGATGGTTTGTAGCTGTAAGTTCTACTCCCTCTGTTTCGTAATAATCGCAACACTTTCCTTTTATGTCCGTTTCATAACATTTGCAACACTTATCTTATTTGGTAAGGACCCACCATTATTTTATTATTTTTCTCTCTTACTAACTACACTTTCTCCAATATATTATTATTTCTCTCCTTTGTTAAACCCACTTATATATATATATATATATATATATATATTTTCTCTCTCTCTTATTAACTATACTTCGTATTATAAAAAATTCTCTTTTGGTCCCTACCCTATAATTTTCCTAAAACTTTGTGCATACCCTACTATTGCGATTATTACGAAATGTATCGCACTCACATTATCACAATAGACCAATGTTGCTTTCGTGACAGGGCGCAAGGGTAAAAAGCTGTCTATCCCGAGCAGATAAGCCTTGCCTCGCGTCCTGCTACATTAGGTAGTATACCTTACCTTCTCAGATGGAAGGGGCAAAAGAAACATCTTGTTGTTATATTAAGACAGGAATAAGAAGTAGCAAAAACGAGTTGAATCCTAACATGAGGTAATTCTCTTAATAGAAATTTACCTATCCACAGGGACAGCACCGAATGTGTACTAATCGATGAACTTTCGAAACCTACTTTTTTTTCTTTTCTAACAAAATAAACCAAGCTTAAGCCGCCGCGGTTGTAAATGACATAGCCTTCAAAAAAACAAAGTTATTCAAGCCTGCCCTTCATTCAATAGATCGCTTAGCTCTACTTCTCAGGGAGAAATAATTTTGAAGTATGTCTATGCACCTAAGGGCTAGGTGTAGAAGCAATCAATTTGTCGTGCCAATTGGTAAAGAAGGGAATGCTAAACTTTACCTCGGCACCGAACTTTTTTATTTGCGCTTCATGATAGGTTAGAGAAATTAGAATTTTGGAAGTGAGAATGAACTCGATTACCGAGAAAGATAATAGAATGAAGAAAGGAAGCTTACTCGCCGGATATAGCTGGAGCTCTTGATCATGGTGGTTAAAGGTCATGGTTTGGAGTAGATAGGTAGCTGAAGTTTATATCATAATTTTTTTTTATTAATGTATATCGTATGGTTTTTTTTGGAGTGAAATATTAGAGTATAGCTAATTAGTTAACCAATGTCAAAGAGGCAATGGAGTTTACATATAGCAGGAGCTCTTGATCATGGTGATTAAAGGTCTCGATTTGGAGTAGATAGGTAGCTGAAGTTTAGATCCTAATTTTTTTTTTATTAATGTATGTCGTATGGTTTTTTGTAGAGTGAAACACTAGAGTATAGCTAATTAGTTAACCAATCGCAAAGAGGCAATGAAGTTTATATATAGCCCTATTTACAATAGCCTGAAAGTTTTATGAGTGAGGAGGGTTAAAAAAAAAATAAAAAAAAAAGCAATCTGCTTATCCTAAAAAATGGGTTGGGGTCCATGGATCTGACCAGGTTTTGGACCCATTGGCATCCTTAGGTATAACCGTATAATCACTTTGTGTATGGTATTTAGAGGTGTCAAACAGATCGGGTCGGGCTCGTGTTCGGGTCAGCTGACCCCAACCCTAACCCGATTCATTTAAGTTTTCGAGTTGAAAAGCTGAACCCGAACCTAATATTTTCGGGTTCGGGTTAACCCGAAAATGACCTGATTTGACCCAAAACTTTGTTTTGAGGATAAACCAGGTTGCTAAATTCGGGTTAGGTCAACCCGGCCAACCTGATTTTGTTCATTCAATTGCATTTTAAATTTTTAGGCAAACTACAAGTCAATCTCAAACAAAATAGTCTAATAAATTTACTTTATGGATTACAATCAAGTCTAATTAACGAATTACAAATTGGATTCAAAAGCTACGCTGATTTTTAAATACAATCTTTAATACTCTTTGTTTTGCCCATCCTTTCATAGTGGAATTAATCTATTCCTTTTTGAATGAAATGGATTTGAGTGGCCGCTATTTGCTGCAATTACATAATAACACAACAATTAATTAAAACCAAAACACAAGTAATTTGCTCACAAACATGCAGATAAATTAACAGGTAGAATTTATCAAACAAGTAAACGACTTCTCACAAAAAGAACATTATCAGCGAATAAAACCATGCATTAACAAAAATTAACAGAAATAAGCATTATAAATTCATATGATACTAGAAATTAACTTAAAAAATTCATACAAACACATTTACAACAAAAATTTACAACAAAAACTAACAACAAAAATCAGCAAAAACAAGGCAAAACCCATATAACAATACAACATAACTTAACAACAAAAATTAGCAGGAAAAAACCTAAAACTACCCCAGCCCCACCAACCGCGCCAACACCGTCGTCCCCAAACCCACCCCCCGCCGGCGTCTGGCGTCCTTGAGAATCGCCCGGCGACGGCGACCCCACCCCCACCACCCTTTTCACCACCTACGCACCCCACCCCTTCCCTTCCCCATTTTTGTTTCCCGACCCACAACCCCGAAACCACCCTAAACGGGTTTTAGGGTTTCGTTTGGGGTGGTAGGGAATCGACTAAGGGAGGGGGAAAGGAGAGGGAGGGCGTTTCCGGGGGAGGAGGGGCGTTTTCCGGGGGAGGGGGCGTTTAGGGTGGTTTTGGGGTGGTGGGTCGGGAAACGAAAATAGGGAAAGGGAAGGGGTGGGGTGCATAGGTGGAGGAAAGGGGTGGGGGTGGGGTGGGGTCGCCGGTGCCGGGCGATTCTCTGGGACGCCGGACGCTGGCAGTGGGTGGGTTGGGGGACGATGCTGGTGGCGCGGTGGTGGGGCTGGGGGTAGTTTTAGGTTTTTTAAATTTTTATTTTTTGTTTTTTAATTTTTTATTATTTTTTTATTTTTTGGCCAATAATAAAGTGACACGTTATGTGGCCTTACTTAACAGATTTGTAAACAGAATCAGTTACGTGGTGGTAATACCCAATTTTTTGAAATTTGGGTGGTGTTAAAATCAATTTTTTTTAGGAGGTGTTAAAAACCATTTTCGGGTTTTTAACAGGTATTAAAATCTAAAATAACCTTTTAATTTCATCCAAAACTTTTGTGTACACCTGGTAAGTAACATTTAGCCAATTTGGTGTAACTTTAATATTCTTTGGTGTAATTTCAAACCTGATGTGATTTTAATGTAAAAAGGCAATGGAATAAGCTTTAAAAGGATAATGTAGCTATGTTTTACCCATTGAGATTTGATTTTTACTCATTTTGAAAAGAGTAAGTCAATCATAAAGCGTAAATAACTTCTTTATCGGGGGTACTTTTATATATTTTGGGGTAACTTTTGATCATTTTAGATTTTTTAGGGCAACTTTACAACTGACGTACAATATCACTCTATTTTTGTACAAGTTTGTGTAACTTTATTCCTCAAGTCGTGTACATTAAATTCATTTTAGATGCTTGTAAATGAGACAACTTTTCAATCAGAAGAATTGGATCCTGCTTCAATCTTAAAAGTTTGCGCTGAGTTTTACTGTCGGTTATGTTTGTCTGGGCCAAAGTTCATTGTTCTCCATCTCTTAGGAGAAATTTGGTTCTGTTTAGATAAATTCTTTGTCATATTTCAGCTAAAGCATGGTTATAGTGTGCATCTTTATCTTCTGTAGGCCGGGGCGTTCTAGGCTTTGGATTTCTTCTTTTTTTTGTTGTACTACGTGTATGATACTTCTGCAGGGTCTAGGAGAAGCCGAGAAGCACTGCTGTGGCAAATACCCTGAATATCTTGTGATTGTTGTTTTTTTTGTTAGTAACTTTGTGGGTTCTTTGCTTGGTTTAGATTGTGGATTGAAATTTTGGTTAAGATATATTTTTGCCCCATGTTTTGGTATGCTTTGAGTTTTGCCAAGGAGGATAATGATATAATTTAGTCAGACGTGTGTTATGTTTGAGCTGGTGACCCACTATCTTCCTGCTAGTTTTCATTCTGAACTTAGATACCATAGTTCATTAGTTTTGGACTGTTGATATTTTTTAACCATTGAAGGCAAAAGAGATTTTTAATTTCAAAATCTTGGGTGTGTGTGTTTGTCTGTTGTCTATGTGTGCATTCCATGAAATTGGATAACTTGATTATTTTGATCTGTAAAAATAGAACCAAGTGTTCAGAATGTTACAGCATTCTAGTAGACTGGAATTCTAGTAGACTATTGGTAAAAAGAAAACCAAGTTGGCAGCATGTTAGTCAAGGTATAACATATCTTTATCTGACCTAAGCTTGTAGATTCTTCTTTTGAATATGTATTGTGCTGTAGAAGTGGTTGGCATAGAACAGCTGCTACTATGAAATCTTTTGTTTTTAGTGTACAAGCTCTAATATGGAATATTGACTTGTGCATATGGTGTTGTGAAGGCACCACCATACGAAATAGAGTAGAACAAGGAAAATAACTGAAGCTCTGGAACTATATGTTTAGAATTGGTTGTAGTAAAAATGTTTTCAGTGATGCATGTTGACTGAGTTGGTGGGGGTCCTGTGTTCAGTTCTAATTTTCATACTGTTAGAGGAATATTGCTAAGGGCTTTGGGCCTTTATTTATTTATTTATTAGATAAGTAATTTTCTATTAATCCATTTAAGTATATAAGTAATTTCAGTCAATGAAATACAGCTGTTATTAGTAAATAATTAGTTTAATTAAGTGAAAAGTTATAATCAGCAATTTTAGCAACTTGAACTATCAATGAAGGATGTATTAGTTACTTGTGGTGTAAAAGGAGAAACTGTATTTCTTTATAGAGGAATACTAGGTTAAGTCCCGTGCCATGCACGGTCATAATTAAATTTTACAATAAATAAATAATAAATATGGTGTTAATTCAACAATAATTTATCCAAAAAAATTATTTGTAACAAAATAACTTAAATTAAATGTAAAGATTATTAGATTGGATTGTATAAAAAAAATATAGTAATAGAAACTTAGAAGATAAAAGGTTTTATATAAGAAAATTAAATTATTAGCTATATTTAGTCCTAAGGGAAGTAGTATTAATCATATGCATTTGTCCTTAAATTTGACACACTTTGATCGGCATAATATGAAAATTTATTTGAGTTCATTTTACTTTAGGATAATTAGAATTCTGTAATCAACTTTTTAAATATATTTTTAGTGAGTAGTAGGTTATTTTTTTTAAATAAAAAAAATAATCACATAAATGTTTAGAACAATTAGATTTAATTTTCCAATATATATTATGTACAAAGTATACTATAACAAAATTATTTTGTTCTTATAAACGTTATGTATAGTTTTAAGATTAATACTCCGTACAAAATATGCTACCAAAATGATTTTTCTGTAAAATTGATATTGATAATATTATAATAATCTTGGAAAACGATATATATTCCAATACCTTATTTTTTTAAATCTATGTTAGTATTTTGTAATTAAAAGTTTCCTAGTATGTAGAGAATATTTGTAAATAAATATTAATTGAGTAATACTGGATTAAATATGTTGTCAAAATAGAAATGACAATTATTATAGGTTATAAAATATATAGATGTCATTAAAATATGGCAAAAAAATTAAAAAGGAAAGAAAAAAAAAGGCGGGAAAATTTTTGACCAGGAAATGACAAGTGTCATTCCTGGTTTCATCTTTAGTATAAGTTTATTGATAAAAGGTAGTAGTTTCACATTTTATATTCGTGGAATTATCCATCATAATCTTTTTTCTTTCTTTTTTTTTCTTTTTCTTTTTTAGAAACAATATCATATTCTATTTATTTATTCTTCGTATATTTATTTTTATTTAATTAATTTTTATCATGTAGCCGACCCCATTTGTGGGATAAAAGGCTTTGATTAATTGATTTGATTTTATGATTTTTTTTTTCATTGTTTTTTTTGTAAATATTTCTTATTATTAAATTGTCACTCAATTAAGCACAGGTCATTTCAGAGATAAGAAAACTCTTCTTTAGAGTAGTGTTTTAGAGTAATGGTCGTATATATTTAAATTTTCTACTTATATTGAAAATTTCTACCTTTGCCAATCTTCAATGGCCTGCAATCATGCTTGGCTGAACACTAGATGCTTGTGAGAGTTTTAGCAAGTGGTAATATCTTTGTGTCTTCTGATTGTGCCATTTGTTCGGGCCATTTGTTCATTTTTTATTATAACTTGAAGGTTTTGGTATATTTTAGAAGTACTGATTGTAACATACAAACATATGGATTCCTGGAGTGATTGTTATAGAAAATAATGAAAGTTACATTCTTTTGAGTTCTTAATCCTGAACTCTGACTTTGTTAAGAGTTTTAAGTCCCAATTATGGTTTCAAGTTTATGTTCTACAAGATTTGACTCGAGGGCTCTATGCATAACTTTGGACTTGACTTCTATTTGCAATCTGATCTATTTTATAAAATTAGACATTAACTCAATTAAGCACAGGACTTGACTTCTATTTGCAATCTGATCTACTTAAAGGAACTAGCTCCATCATTCCCTCGAATTTTGTCGTCAGGGGAATTCAGCGAGATATACATATAGGAGATTAAGTTAGGATTAAGTTATCCTAATGATGGAGCTAGTTCCTTTAAGTAGGAGGAAAGAATAATTAAATTTAAATTATAAATCATCAAATTTGAAATTTAGACCGCAAAAAAATTAGTTGGAGGCCCCAATAAGATCTTGTTGATGGAAGCTAAGATGTAGCTGGGTGAATTACTTATTACAAGGTTAATGGGATTTGAACACCTAATCACTTGTAAAAAAGTTGGCTATTTAACTATCTTAGTCTATGATCAAACTTCTTTTTTTTTTTTTTGACATTGGAAATGGTCAAACATCTTATAAGTAAGAAAATGAAATTTACAGAAGTATATACGACATGATGTAATTTCTGCCTTTGTTACACATTGTGTGCAACAATTGAGTATTTTATGTAAGATATAAGAAATTCAATTGTTGTACATAATAAGAAATAGATGTAGTATTTAAAAAAAAAAACCATTAAATATTGTCAATTTAGCTTTTAAATTTGTTAATAAAAATACCCCAATTGATTTCAAAGTAACAACCCGGGTATTGCGCGAACATATTCTTATGGTTGTTTGTTTTGTCTTAATGACTGCATTAATTTTTAAATTATTTTTGTATTATAATTTCTACCACTCCATTATATAATTTGATACATTAGTGGTCAAATATATGTTTTTGCGGTCGAAGTAGACTTGTATAAAAAAAACAATTATATATTTTTGGTGTTTAGAGAGCTACAAGGGCGGGTGATTTGAATCTATTTCAAGATCTCTTAAAATAGGAGGGGGAGTTCTAATCACTTGATCTATCCCTCACTCTGAAGAAACAATTATATTAATTGACACTTTTTTATAAAGTTGTTCATGTTTCTTATTAATGATATGTATTAACTTATTATTTTTCCTACATAATAGAGAGAAATAGGAATGTAATTAGGGACGGAGAGAGTACTAACTATAATATATTCCCTCTGTCTCTTATTGGAGTCCCCTTTCTTATTTTTCACGAGAATTTAAGTTTTTGGTAGATTTCTTAAACAATTACCAAAGTACATTACTTGCATTAAATAACTAGTGGGAGAGAATAAAAATAGAGAGAGAATAAATAGTGTGTCATAAATGATGGGAACATTTGGCACAAAAAATCAGAAAATTTTGAGGATAATTTGGGAATTAAATTAAGAGAATAAGGTTAAAATTGTAAAAAAAAATCACTTACTAAAAGAAGAAATATTATTATAATGAGACTTTAATTTTAATTTGCCAAATAAAAAAAAAAGGATAAAAGGACTATAAAAAAGAGACGGAGAGAGTAGTAAAAATATTTTCTATAATGATCATAGCTATTATAATATATAATAGGAAAAATTAGAAAAAATAATCCCAACTTTCAACAATTTTGGTGGAATAATCCCAACTTTAATTTATTCTGGAATAATCCGAACTTTGGGGGTGTTCTTTTTCTTAAATTCCAAACCGGTCAACGAAAGTCAATGACTTGTTATATATAGCAGGTTATGTGCCACGTGTCGAGCTTCAATTGGTCCAAAAAAAAGATAAATAAAAAAAAATAATTTTTTAAAAAAAAAACAGAAAACCCTTATATCCCCTACCTGAACACCGTAACCCCAAACACCACCGCCTGCCGCGCGTACCCAGCCCTTGCCTTGCCCCAACAATGCGCCACTATCCCCCCAAATCCCTGGTGCTGTCGTGCGACCCACCTCCACCCCCATTCCCCACGAAACGACCAATTAAACCCCTCCCCCACTTTCAAAAATCCCAGATCGTTCCTCCAACCACCTCAAAACCCTTGCAGCTAGGGTTTTAAATGGTGGTGGAGGCGTTTTTGGTGGTTTTAGAGAGTGTGTGGGGGGGGGGGGTGGTTTTAAGGGTGTTTCGAGTGGAGGTAGAGGTTTCAAGGGTTTTCGAGTGTCGCCGAAAAACGAGAAAACGAAAAAAAAAGGGAGGGGGAATCAGCGGCGAAAGGGGAGGGCGAATCAGCGGCGTAGAGGGGAGGGGGAATCAGCGGCGACGGGGGAGGGGAAATCAGCGGCAAAGGGGGTGATTGTTTGGATTATGCTGGTGGTCGGAATTGGGAGGGGTTGGCTGGGTTAATTTTTTATTTTTTTACTTTTGCTTTTTTTTTAATAATTTTTTTTAACCACTCAATTTGTGACATGTGTCACTTTAACAAAAAAAAAACCATTCAATCGGTAACCGGTATTTGGGATTGAAGAAAAAGAATAACCACCAAAGTTCGGATTATTCTAGAATAATTCAAAGTTGGGATTATTGTAGCAAAATCCATAAAAGTTGGGATTATTTTTTCTAATTTTTCCTATATAATATTATAAAAGATTATTATAATGGGACTTTAGTTTTGATTTGCCAAAAAAAGAATAAGGAACTCTAATAAAGAGACGGAGGGAGTAGTAAAAATATTTTTTTTATAACGATCATAAAATTAAACCTAACTATTCTATAGCTATTAATAAAGGAAAAATTCATATTATAAATCTCAACTTTGGGCGGTTTACTTTTAAAAAATCCCAACTATATGTTAGCCTGGAAAAATCCCAACTTTCATACCCATTTTCTTTCAGAGGACCCAGCGGGTCACCAAACCTGTTACTCCAGGTTTCTAGGCCACGTGTCACACTTTAATGGTAAAAAAAAAATCAGAAAATTAAAAAAAATCAGATTTTTTTTTTAGAAAGTCAGAAAATAAAAAAAATTCAGAAAATTAAAAAAAAAACAGAAAAAAATTTCTAAAAAAGTAAAATTAAAAAAATCACAAAAATAAAAAAAAAAATAAAAAAAGCAACAACCCCCACCCTTGCCCCCTTCCCCCGGAAAAACGTCTCCCCGGCCGGAATCCCCCTCTCGGAACTACATTCCCCGACCCCCCCGCCTCCTTTAATTGCCGGACAACAACCCCCCAATGTCGCGAAACCCTCCCCTTCCCTAGATCTTTCCCATAAACCTCCCTCCTCTAATCCCCCACTCTCGAAAATGCCCCCCTCTCTTCCACCACCCCTAAAATTGATGACCCAATCTGGGTCGATTTGGGGAGGGGTGGTTTTACGGGTCGATTTCAGGGGTGGGGGAAGGGAGAGGGGCGTTTTCGAGGGTGGGGTCGGGGTTTGGAGAGGGGTGGTTATACGGGGAGAGAGGGAGAGGGTTTTGAGGGTGGGGAGGGAAAGGGTGGGTTTCGAGGGCGGGGGAGGGCTGGGCACCGTATCCTGGCGCGGTGGGAGGTGTTTACAGGGGTGAGGGCAATTACTGGCGGGAGTGGGGTATTTTCTGGGATGGGGGGCTACTGGTTTGGGGGTAGGGGTGGGGGGGGGGGTGGTTGGGTACTTGTTTTTTTTTTTTTTTTTTAATTTTTTTATTTTAAATAAATCAGATTTTTTAAAAACAATTATTTTTATTTTTTGATCCACTAACTGTATGACACGTGGCAATTTTTATATAAAAAAAAAGTTAACCTTTTTCTTCAGGTAACCGGTCATTTGGGTCCTATGAAAGAAAATATCCCTAAAAGTTGGGATTTATCAGGGATAACGCGTAATTGGGATTTTTTAAAGTAAAACGCCCAAAGTTGGGATTTATAAGAGCAACTCCAATGGCAAGCTAATTGTCAAATTAGCTTGTCTTGCCACATAAGTTTTCAAGCAAATTATGTTTGTAGCTAGTTTGATCCCCAATGACTAGCTATTAGCTTATTAATTTATTAATTGTCAAATTAGCTTGTCGTGCCACATAAGTTTTCAAGCAAATTAGCTTGCCATTGGAGTTGATTTTTTGGCAAGTTTTTTTGGCAAAGCTAATTTGCTTGACTAAGCTAATTACATATTTTTGCTCCAATGGTCAAGCTAGTAGCTAGGGACTATTTAAAATTGCAAGCAAGTCTCTAACTACAACCATTGGAGTTGCTCTAAAATGAAAATTTCCATTATAAAATATAATATACAACTACTCACAAATTGACACAAGATCGTTGTAGATTAAATATATTCAGTTTAGGTTGGAACGAGGATAATGGCCATGGTAGGATATTAAAGATGAAAGATAAGCATGAGAATTGGACTTTAATCTATTTTTCAATTGTTATAGTTATTATATATTTACAAAATACTATACTCCGACAACTCCGTAACAACTTGATAACCAATTTTGATGATTAACCTTATAATGTTAATATAAATTGCCATGAGTATTTTTTTTAGTATGTTTCCCGAACTTATTTACTAAATACTTTGAAGTTTGATCCTTACATCTATATCTATCTATACTCTATACTTAAGTATTTAAAAATACAAATCATAATTTTTCATATGACACATGTCATCACAAATCACTCAATACCACATATGACACATGTCACCCCTTTTAATCTTTTTCTTTAAGTCTTTATGCATTCTATAACTTGCAAATTCAATTAAGAAAATGTAGTGTTTCATTTCCATCGTAATAAAATAAAGTTCAACCAACTAATATATATCACATAGACATATGAATTGAATTACTACGTATATAAAAATTGTCTTTTCAATTCTTAGACTTAAAACAACTTAAAATTAATATGCCATTTCATATCCTACAATCTTCATGTATATATACGTAACTAAATTCCATCATCTTTTTCCATAGTTCTACCCTCATTCTTTTTTTTCCTTTTATGTTTTAGCAATGAAACAATTACTTCGTATTTCATATCAAAAGTTTCAACTATTGAAATACATACCTACATATGAAATAACCTAGGTAAAAATCTGTGCATCGAACGGGCCAAAAGACTAGTTAATGGCTAATTTCACCACACAAGCCTTAGGATGCTATTTTAGTGTATGTTTTGTATACGTACATAAACATATGAAAACTAGGCCAAAACTTCTAGAAAATGTAAAAACAAACCTACATATATTAAAATAATTTTTTCCTTTATTTGTTACTTGTTAGGTAATTAAGATTTATTAAAGTAAATCCAACCGCGTTAGTATTATAATTTTCTTAGCCACGATTTTCTCAAAAACCCAAATAAAATATTTTTTTACCAAAATATAAAAGCCAGCTGTTCATGCTCTTCCACAAGGTCTTTGCTGCTCCACTATATATCGTTCTCTTCAACCCTAAGTAATCAAAACCTCGTCAAACACGTTCGTTTAAAATTCTTAAAAAAAAAAAAAAAAAAGAAAAGAAAAGAAAAAAAAAAATAAAAAAGTCCATATTTTCACACATATTGTGTCATCACACAAAGTTGCCAAGCAGCCGTATCCCTTGTTCTCATCCCTGCAGCCAAAGTCGCAGCAGCAGCAGCACCTGCCGCTTGGGGAGTCTTGGGACTGTTGCTGCTGGCTGCTGCATTCACCTGCCGCTAGGAATATCTCTTTGTAGGGCTTACACACTCTTAGCGTTGGAAGTAAGAAGTTTAAGCATGGGAAAAACGCTGGATGCATTGCTAGGAAGAAGCTTTAAGGCTTCCAAATTCAAAACCCTTGTAAACCTTGCCATATCTCGGCTTTCTGTCCTTAAGAACCAGAAGCGAGCGCGATGTTCCATTGCTCGCTCTGATGTCATTCAACTCCTCCAAATTTCCGAACACGAGCGTGCTCTCATCAGGGTAACCACCATTGCTTCCTTCACAATATATGATATCTGACACAAAATAGATTTTGATGCATGGTTTTGTGCTTTTATTTGCATGTTTTTGATAGGTTGAACAAGTGATCAAGGAGCAAAATATGTTGGATGTGTTTTCCATGATTGAGAGTTACTGCATTCTTTTGAGCGAGAGGGTCAAACTTATTGAAGATGAAAAGTTAGCCTCCTTTTTTTCTCTTTTTGTTCTAATCTATTATCGTGGTGTTTCAGTCTTCTACATGTTTGACACATGAATAAATAAATATCATCTGATTTCAGAACCTGCCCTGAAGAGCTTCAAGAGGCTATATCAAGCCTGATTTTTGCAGCATCAAGGTGCGGAGAATTACCTGAACTACAGGAGATACGCTATATTTTTTCATCCCGTTATGGCAAAGAGTTCACCCTTCGAGCTACTGAATTACGTAACAGATGTGGTGTCAACCTCAAGGTAAATGCTTTCCACTTACATGTCAAGAAATCAAGAATACATGTTAATTGTGTGTTTAACGGGTGTTTTTCTGGGCAGATCATCCAGAAACTATCGACTAGGCAGCCAAGTTTGGAAAGCAGAATGAAGTTGCTGAAAGAAATAGCTGATGAAAATGGCATCAAATTGCAGCTAGAGGAGGCTCCTTCAACAGCAGCAGAGGTACCTTATTCAGCTTAAATTCTCAGAAATGTTACTTCCCCTGTTCCTAAATAATACTTCGTATGTCACATTTCTGTTTAGAGTCATCCAAGAAAAACACACCAAGACACCTAGTTAAGACACCTAGTTATAAAGTCCAAACTTTACCAGACTAAATATTTTAAATAAGAATTCTGATCATACAAAGTATGTAGCTTGTGATTGATGGACAGGGGAGTATATTTTAACAGCGAGTACACTACAGATAACTTTTAACAGCGAGTAATCAGTGTATGTATGCACTAACTTTGTGCAGGTAAATAAAGAAGAGGACAATCGTAGTGCTAAAAATCAATCAGCTACTTCAGGAGTTAATTTTGGAGATGATAGGAAGGACTACCCTGAAGAAATGTGCAGAGTTGGGGATTTAAGTCTTTCATTGAATAGGGGAAAGCAATATAAAGATGTAGCAGAAGCTGCCCAAGAAGCCTTCATGTCTGCAGCGTATGCAGCTTCTGCAGCAAGAGCTGCTGTGGATCTCTCTAGGTCGACTTCTGGGGGACCACCAGATGATCTCAATCATCCAAGTAATAAACAGAGAAATCAAGTCATGGATTCGAATAGTGAAGTAAAATCAAGAACTGTTGATAGTCAGAAAAGTTATTCACAGGAACTTAAAGACTCTGTTTTGCGGCATGAAGAAGTTCATCCATTCGACAGTTATAGCCTTAGTTCTGATGAAGAGGAAATCTGTCAAAGCGACGAGATGATAAACGTCAAGCAAGTAGATCCAATAAGCATTTCTTCAGGTAGAGCAGAGCAGAACCTGAAGTTCAATGAGACTATGAACGAAGATGTAGTTAAGAGTGAGACCTATTCAGTTGGAAACAAAGATGAACAGGAAAAAAGAGAAACCAAGCTGCTTTACTATTCTCCTAAACAAACAGCTACTAATATTCAAGCTAACTCCAGGAAAGAAAGCGAGGAACACATTTCTGCAGGAATGGCTGTGAAGAGTTCACAGAGATTGAATACAGTGAAAAGGCCTGTTTCTGTGAGGACCAGAAGATAGCATTGATACCTAAAATGCTATTGAAGTTATCTATAGATGAGCCAGAGGAGTGTCTGAGTTTTTTTTTTTTTTTTTTTTTTTGGCCTCTTTTTTTTTTCATTGCTACTCTGCAGAACGTATATAGAGGCAATAGTAAATGTATTTATCATTATAAAAACCTAAATGTAGCCTTAAATTTTGCAAATCTGGAAAAGAATTTTGTTTACTGAGCTCGAGTAAGCTTCAAAGCAGTTCATTACTATCCGGTCAATGTCCCAGAACTAGCCACTATTCAAAATCTATTGCATTAAGTGCAGAAACAATAACTGAGAAGTAATTCCTCTTGTGCATGGATAGCCAGTCAACATTTCTACTTTCCAGACATTATGCATTAGTACAGAAATGCTCATCATTGAGATAATCTTGTTTTCACTAAATAATGCAAGCAGTTCAGATAAAGTTTCTTGGGTAGGTAGGTAATAAGTAACCAGTAATCCAGTATACTTAAGTTATGTTGATTACACTGTACATAATAGAGGACTCTATAGATATCAAGCATATATAAGCTTATAAACACTAATAAGTGAAACTGCTTTTACAACTATGAATTATAGTTCTAGTAAAACTTCCTGATGAAAACCAACAACATCCAGCGTACCTGAACGATCTATTCTGGTACAATACTTCCCAAATGCATAAATATATACCACGAACTTTGTCGCAAGCCACTAGTAAAACTTCAGCATTGACTGCAGCATGAACTTTACTGACCTCTTCCCCGCTTTTTGCTTTGTGGCATCAAATTACAAAAAGACTGCAAATTCTGACCAGCATCTTCATCATATTCAATGCCGAGTTCCTCCTGAAATAAATGGAAGGAGTTGAATCAGTGAAGGGGAATATTTTTGGAGGCCTATAAAACTATAGAAGTGAGGAAGAAAAAGACCTTAAGCTCTTTTAAATCCCTCGGTAAATTTTCAGTTATTGTATCCCATATGTCTTTGAACATCCTTTTGCGCTTTCTCCAATGACTAATTGCATTCACATAAAGATCTTCAATAGCCTTCCTGTCCTCTGGTTTCACAAGGGTGACTCCTCCACGCAATTTAGTCAACTTATCCTCCATTTCCTCAACCTAGTTGAGATGTCAACAGAGAAATCATCAATTTCAAAATTCTCCCAAGTCAGCTATTTGTTTCAAAAAAACGCAAGTTAATATCATAATAAAAATATCTTCCTGCAAATCATGCAATATACCTCTGTGTTAAGCCTTCCCAGCTTGGCTTGCATATCTTCTAGTGTCAAATTTGACTGTAAGGATTTGATTTCTGAAAACAAAATTATCAAGGAGATCAAATTAAAGCCAGCACAGATCACTGGCATTGCATCCCAAATTCCAATTCAATTTTCCTTTATCAAATTGTAAGGTTAGAAGTTTAGCATACCTCCCTCAACCTCGCTAACTGCTTTCTTCTGTTCGCTAACTTGTTCCTGTAATTTAGCATTCTGTTCCTTCATCTGATTAAGCTCTTCACTGTTTGGAATCTCAAACTGGTCTTGACGTGCAATGTAGATCTTCTGCTTGCCATACTCTTTAAACGCAATCTTTCCACTATCAGCGAGTGAATCAAGAGCTTTTTGAACTGCAGTCTTTTTGAGATTGAACTTTTGCAATGCATCAGCAGCATTCTGTGCATTTAAAGGCCTATCTTGCTGGACAAGAACAGCAAACATGAAAGTGCAATTTATTTAATGACTTCTATTTCATTTATTTATTTTCCGCTTAATCATCAGATTACGCGTCTAATAACAAACATGAAAGTGCAATTTCAGGTCTTTTATCAGGTTGTTAACCTATCTCATTGAAATCTTTTCAACTTATTGTTCTTCACTCCCAACCTTACATTTCTCCAAACTCTTAAAATACCAGACACAACATGATATCCAAGTACTTCATAATAGACCTAATGATACTTGAATCCGCAAATAAAGCCAGTACTTACCCTTAGATTTACAAACATACAAAACTAGTAGGGATATCATATGAAAGAATAATTCACAAGTCCATAAACTTTAATTCTTTTGTAAATTCTAGAATCAGAGGTAAATTAGCACAATAACTTCGAAATGATGCTCATGAATCATACACTCGAAAATCAGTTTCATAAAAATATCATTTCATACCGCAACTTTCGACTATAGAATTCATTTTAAAAAAAAAAAAATCAAAATGCAGGAAATAGTCCTGATTTAAAATTTCAGCTAAACATCCTAACCTAAAATAAGCTACTTTGTGTTTGTTCTACTTATTTTACAGAAAAATCAATCAATTTCCAAGCAACTTGAGCTCTAAAATTACAAGTTCATATATGTTGAACACAATTTCAATCTCAAGAATCTAAAAATAAACAAATTGACGAACATAACTATCAAATATTTTGCCACAAAATCGGTAAAATAAAAACAAGGGTTTAAGGTAAATGGATTACCTCGTTGACGAAGTTGAGTACTATACCTGAACAAATTACATCCAACAAAAAAATTCAACAATGTTAGAGAAATTAACAATGAAAAAATTCAAAAAAAAAAAGGTGAAATTAAGAGGAAATTATACGAATTCAGTGAAATGAGAGGTATAATCAGAAATTCAGAAGATTAAACCTTAAAAAAAACAGCAAATTGGAGTGATTGAAGGTGAAAATGAGTAAAGGAGATAGAAAATACCTTCAGCGCTGTCGGGTTTGGGAGCCATGGTGGAGAAGAGAAGAGAAGAGGAGAGAGAAAATATGAAAGTTAGGCGGAGTGAAGTTGAGTTGCAGATGTTGCGCGGGAAAATTGACAACTATGGGAGGAGCAGTAGAGACTAGAGAGTAGAGATGGTGTTTCAGCAGTGTTGCGTTTCTCTAATACGTCGCCGTTTTTAAGTGTTAAGTGTTCAAAATGGTGCGCTTTTGTTAGATTGTAGCTTGCCGCCTACGATTTGGGGTGAAGCCTCAAGAGTGGAAATGGAGTTTTTTAAAAACCAAAATTAGGACAATTTGTTTAAAAAAAAAACAAAAAAAAAAAACCATTTTAAATGCATTATTTTGTGAAAAAACAAATCTTTTAAAAGGCTTTTTGACAAACGAAAACCCGGTTCGTAACATTTGCAAAACAAACAAATTCGATTTTGCATTTTTTTTTTTTGAAAACAACCTAATATTTCTAATTCACTTAATTTATCACTAATTTCTTTTAATTGATGGTCATATCTTATTTAACCATCTAATTACTGGCTATCTTTCGCCTAATTAACCTAATGAAATTAATATGCATGATGCACATATATTGGTGGAATTTTCACCGTAGAATTGTGCTGAAACTATGTCAACGTGGACACGTATGGTCTCCACATAAACAATAGGATCCTCATTTGAAGTTGTACTTGTTGAGTATATAGATCATAATACCCTACGCTTTGGTGGTATTCTTCACTTTTGTTCTTTTATTTAGATGCTATGCTTTATTTCGATTTTCATACATATGATGATAAACCAAACACAAAGAGTAAAGGATACCTAAAGTGATTAAAGCTTTCTTTTCGATTATAAGGATCCTAGGACCAATTCTCATAGAATTTGTTATTTACACCCGGGTGTACCGTACACTCAACTAACCTAAGGTTAGTTTTTCCTCTTCATTTGATAATAAAATGAAAAAACAATCATCAAAATGAGCACAAATACTCATGGGTGTACGGTACACCCAGGTGTATATAACAACCTCACCAATTCTCATCACTCGCCCATATCGCCCATATGGCTCTATAAACAACAACAAAAAAAAAATGATAATTAAACACGACTTGATATCTTACTAAAATAATAAATAATTTTTTTTGTGGCTAATTATGTACTAATCTTAAGACATGTTTCAGTTCCTAATTTCTTTATCTCATAAACAATTCATTTCAGCTCATTTAGTAAATTAGAACACGCTCTTAGTTATTGGCCCTGTTTGGCAATTGGCTGTTGGTTGTTGGCTGTCGGCTGTTTTAGCTAGCTGGTTTGACTGGCTGTTTAGATTGGCTTTTGAGTTGGTTGTTTGACTAAAGTTGTAGTGTTTGGTAAATTGGCTGTTGGGTGCTAGCTGTTGTTAAACTATATCAACACTAATGAACTAATATAGTACTTTAATATTAATTAAAATAATAAATTATTGGTAATAATAATTGTAAATTAATTATTAATTATTTACAATAAGTTTACAATAATTTTATAATAATTAGTTATAATTCAAATTAATTAATTATTGGTTATTAATTAACAATAATTGTATATAAGTTATAAATTGATAATTATAAATAATAATATACTATAAATTAATAATATTAATCCATTTTAAAACTAATTATTGAATAATAATAATTAATTATTAACTATTAAATACTAATTATTAAATAATAATAATTTATGTTTCAAAAAAATATTAATTATTAATTAAAAAATATTAATTATTAATTAAAAAATATTAATTATTAAATATTATTATTAATTACTAATTATTAATTATTAATTATTAATTATTAATTATTAATTATTAATTATTAATTATTAATTATTAATTATTAATTATTAATTATTAATTATTAATTATTAATTATTAATTATTAATTATTAATTATTAATTATTAATTATTAATTATTAATTATTAATTATTAATTATTAATTATTAATTATTAATTATTAATTATTAATTATTAATTATTAATTATTAATTATTAATTATTAATTATTAATTATTAATTATTAATTATTATTAATCAAAAGTTAATTATGTCAATAAGCCAAAAGTCATAAGCTAATCCAACTAGCTTTTGGCTTAAAAGTTAACTTTTCAGCCAGTTATAAAAGCCACTAACCAAACATATTTTTGGCTGTTTGACCAACCTGAAAAAGCCAAAAGCCAGCTGAAAAGCTGGTTTCTAAACACCCCCATTGTCCCGCAAATATTACAGAGTACGGAGTATTACCGTTTTCACGGATAATTGGATACCCCGTCCTATGAATTACTCCGTGAAACTAATCTCTGATGAATTTGGCGCCACGTTGCCATGAAACACAGGAACCAAACCAATAACCATTCTCTCTCTTCTTCATCACAACTTCCAGCAGTTCCTTGAAGATGACAACAATGGCGTCGTCAACAGTCACTCCACTTCGAGCTTTTCTCTTCCACACTTCCCAACCACCCCCTAAACCTTCCATTTCTCGACGCTTTTCTCTCCCTCATCGTCATCATCTTCCACTCAAATTCCCCCGAAAAAGTAACCCTAATTTCCCGCAATATCGCCATTGTCAACTCACAATTCCTTGTTCTGCAACTCGAAGTTCGTCGAATAGAAAGAATTCTGGGTTAGTTGGTGTTGAAGTTGAAGATGAATCTGAATCTTTTCGAAGAAAATTAACACAAGCAGTGTTGTGGGTTATGGAAGGGGTCTACATTGTTTGGCTATTTTTGCTTCCTTTTGCTCCTGTTAGTATGCTCTCTTCCTTTTTATGCTCTTCTATTTTCCTCTAATTTTCTGCCATATTTGCTTTTTTTGGTTTAATAGAATGTAGAATAAGGTATAGATTAATTGGAAGAATGTTGTCTTGGATTGTGATGCTGTTGTTTGTATTGTATTTGGATTTTCATTGTTTATGTGAATGATTTGTCAAACCTAACAATTTTCAAAAAAAAATAAATAAATAAAATAAAAAAATTCAATAGAAATTGACAATTCATATAGAATTATTGCCAATTACTAGTATTGTGCTTTGCAAGTTTGACCTCTCTTTTAAAGTATAAAAACATGAACTTGCAAATATGACAGGGTGATCCTGTATGGGCTATCAGTTCGGACACTATCAATGATCTTGTGGGGCTTTCTTTGAATTTCTTCTTTATCTTGCCGATAACAAATGCTGGTAAGTATCACTTTGATGGTCTTATATTCTTGGTAAGTGTAAATAATATGATTGCCTGCATCATAAGCTATTTTACCAGTCTTTTAGACAAGACTGATCAAAACAAATTGTTTACTTTCTATGTTTATATTAGAACTAGATCCTAGTTATGGCTTATGACTTATGACCAACTTCAAGCCAAGCAGGATGTGTAGCAGGTTGATTGCTGGCCTATGTTACATTGACTCTTCATTTCACCTTAAGCACCCATGTCGGACCCTCGACACTTGGAACTTCACTTTTTGTTCAAAACCATGGATTTTTTTTTTTTGCAAAATAGCTGAGTCGGACACTTGGACACATACCCGTGTCGGACATGGGTGCCCGAGTCCATGTAACATAGTTGCTGGGTGAAAGAGAGAAAAAAAATAACAATAGCAATAATGTGTTGGTTGAGGTAAAATGATGTAGGGAATGCATCCCAGGATCATATGATGTCGTTTGGAACCATATATGATCACTAGTCGGTCCAATATAAAGTCCCATGATGGCCTTGAGTTAATGAAGGGAATCATAAGTTGTAAACAAACGGTTCCAACCACCCCCAAATGGGCTCCCAGGGTGTTGTGGGGTAAATGAGAGCACCTGGCATGTTTCCTTTAAGAGTCCAGACAAGTCAAAAATTGTCCAAAGTTAAAGGCTATAATCCACGTTTTCAGGCAGGAATTTTTCCCAAAATTGAAGTGAATGTGTTGGGTGTTCCCCGGGGTCACATGAGTTGGATTGGAACCATAACAAGCCTACCAATAAGTGTATAAAAGTCTTGAAAATGAGCTTGATTTAGCTATGTGGCTACTTCAGAATTGTGTCGCACTGCTAGTGAAGAGCTGCAAGAGATGATTGTCTGTTTATATCACCAACTTGACATTCTGAAGTCTTTAAGGTGTCAGGAATCCTTCATTCATCTTCCTTGGGTTATCAATTAATTATACTCAAATTCACTACTTACCATAACGTCAATAAATAACATAGGTTGTTTTTAACTTCAATATTATATTTACTATATCGATGTTGTTTGTTACTCAACACCAATCATAGATTCCAAGATATCCTCTTTATTTCCACTCAACAATCCCATTTTGTTGTGGTGTGCCTACACAACTAGTTTGGTTTATTATAAGGAAGTCCATGTTTAATTTGACACCTAAATTCAGCACCATTTCCTAAATTATCACGTCATTCACATGAAACCATAACAATGGAGAAAATATCAAGTTGAGGAGGTTCCCGCCTTTATAATGTTTTAGGATTGAGAATCACTCTTATCAAGGCAAAAGCAAATTCAAGGCAAAAGCACACTTGAGCCTTCTTTAGAGCTCATGAATACCTCCATCTTCTTTATAAGAAGACCAGCACTCAGTATTTCAAATATTATCGGCAAAATGGCTAGGTAATTTTTGTTCAGGGAGTTAACAACTTATGGCAATTTATGCTCCTTTTCTGTTGTTGAGGGAATGAAGAATAAACTCATGGGATTGACACGTGGGAGGGGGGATAGCTATATTAGAGTGAACTCCGGCGAATTTGAAGCACATAGATGCAAGTAGCCAGGTAGGGCTAGTCATTATGACTTTATGAGAAGGAAGATGTAAATCATGTAATTATCATCTTACACATTATGACTTACGACGGAATGAGGTTCATAGGTCAATTGCTTTCATTAGGGCTGTGACTGTATACATCAACAAAATAGAGCTCTCACTAACATTCCATATGTACACAATTACTGATTTCATATGGTTGTTTATATTAGCGGACCATCTCAACCATCAGCTTAAGGCCCAAGAATATGTTTTATACTCTATCACGCCCCCTCACACGAGAGCCCGTTGGGCCAAAAGTGTGGATGCAGCATGGGCCCTCCTCATACCCCGTGCTTAATATTCCACTTGAAAGTGGGGGGGGTGGATGAGATTCGAACCCGTGACCTTTGTGTCATGCTGGCTCCGATACCGTGTTAGTGAACCAACTCAACCAAAAGCTCCTATGTGTGGTGGGAGTTAGTTGGATCACAAGAGGGGTTGCCGATGATAGTCAACCATCGTACTCCATAATTAAAACGCGGAAGCAAAAAGAAAAAAAAAAAGTGCGTTTTGTGTAATTGTTTGTGAATCCCGCCGGTGGGTTTAATTTTCTAACCCACCGGCAGGGGAAGAGAAAATTTAAGATATAAACAATCCCAAGATTTAACCTAAGCTCTGATACCATGATAGTGGACCATCTCAACCAAAAGCTATGATGGTTGAGGCCTAAGAATATGTTTTATACTCTATCAGTTTACACCTCTGGCATTTTGAATTTATGATATACTAGAAGCTGTATACTTCCATAGCATGAAGCTTTGTTCTTTTGTCTATGATAAAAGCATAAAATCTCTGTCCCTATGATTAAAGCATAAATTATGATATAACGTTTCTGCATTTTTTAATATATGCCCACCTTTATCCTCTTTTGCATAGACAGGTAATTATACTCTGCTTTGTCTTCGGTTAACCTTGTGAGGTACCAGAGCTCTAGTACTAATCATTCGTATTGTGTATGTTTCTGACAGAGTAGTTGGTATTCATGCTATAGAAGCCCCAGTTCTTCACCCAGTAAGTAGTGTGACTGAAGTTCAAGACCAATGCAATCAATATCTTAATTGCCTACTCTGATTGAGAATTTTGATTTCAATTTAGATGTCTGAAGGGCTCTTCAACTTTGTTGTGGCATGGACCTTCATGTTTGCTCCTCTACTATACACTGATTTTAAGAACAGTAGATACAAGGGATCCCTGGATGCGTTATGGGGCCTTCAGATGTTCCTGACAAACAGTAAGTTCTAGTGTTCTACTGATGACTCTTTTACTTATGGAAAATCTTGCCTGATTCTGCTCTGCTGTTCTGATGAAGTTGAATAAAATTCATTTTATGTAATGGTAGTCATAAGTAAAATTTTGAAAGAGTATTCATAAATAGTACATTAGAAAATCTAGAGCAATATAACAAAATCGCTCACCTTGGAAATGTAAACATTGTGCGACATGTAAACATCAACCCACATTTTAAAAATGTTTCTTCATGTTGATAACTAAAGAAGACTTAGTTCCTCGTAATTCCTCTTAGTTTTATCCTCGTAATTCATCTTTGTTCCATGTAGTTTGCTTCCTTTCCAACAATTGGAGAATGTGTCTTGGTTATTTTCCCTAGAATTTGTCCTTACATTTAATATCCTGAATTCCTGATAGCTACAGGCACTCTGATGAAGTTACTGTAAAGTTGCTTTTATAGTTTTCTTACATTAAGTTATACTGGTAAAAATCAGTTATTTTGATTTCCTGGTTTAAACATCTTTTAATTGGGATACATTATAGGATTCGTATTTTTCTGTGACTATGCTTTTATATATAGATATACAGAGTATATATTTTACGCAAGAGTTGTTGAGTACCATTGTTATTTTTTGTTCATAGCATTCTTGATACCCTACATGGCTATCAGACAAAATGGAGCTGATGCTAGTGACTACCCAAGAAAGCCCTCTCAACTGGGTATTGTGATGATCAAAGGTGCTCCAGTAGTTGGTTTGATTGGTGGGGCTGTGTGTGCAATATCCATTCTGTGGGCTCTATATGGAAGAATGGATGGTGATTTTGGAAGTTTAAATGAAAGGTGGAATTTCTTGTTGAGCTATCTGGGATCTGAGAGGCTCGCTTATGCTTTTATCTGGGATATTGTTCTTTATACAATCTTTCAGCCTTGGTTGATTGGAGAAAACCTACCAAATGTTGCGGAAGACAGACTTATGTTTGTAAAATACGCTAGATTCATACCAGTAATTGGCTTGCTTGCTTACCTTCTTTGTCTAAAAAGAGAGGTGGTTGAAGAGCTGCTTGAATGATTGATTAGGAGAACAACTCAGGGTGAGAGTTTCAATTCTTGAGTTTTCCTCATTAAAGTGACAGTCGGCAAATCTAGCCATAAATAAGTCATCAGTCAATGGTTCAAGATATTTAATTATAGAGGGGGATTCAAATCCGACATAAATTCTCAACCTTCTTTGTGGACCCATTTTTGTTCGTTTGGGTGGAGCAATGGAACATATATAGCACAACCAAAGATTTTTAGATGTGAGATACTTAATTCACGACCACAAACAAGTTGTAGTGGTGAGAATTTATGATAAGCTCCGGGGCTCAATCTAATTAGTGTTGCTTCATGTATTATAGCATGTCCTCAAACAAATAATGGCAATTTAAACCTCATTAATAATAGTCTTACAATCAATTGTAATATCTTAATTAGTGATTCAGCTAAATCATTTTGTGTATGAACATGAGCTACTGGGTGTTCAACAACAATTCCAATTGACATACAATAATCATATGTTAATCACACTCGGCCAATATTGACACTAAATTCGTGTCGGATTCTCCACTTTGCACTCGGACACTTCATCTCATAGAAGAGAGTGGAAGAGAAAATACATATCTGATTTTTTATTTATTTATTTTTTAATACAAGAAAAGACCATACTAAATCCTACCTTGCCATTCAGATACAAAACCGTGGAAAACCCTCTCGAAATTTGAAGTTCTATGCCATGATTTTAGAGAATTATGAGTAGAATTATAAATGGAGGATATAGCTATGTTTTTACGAAGAAAGTGAAAGAAAAAAGGAAGGAGAAAGGAGGTAGGGGTGAAAGTTCGGTATTCGGTTTGGATTATACCCCAAACCGAATCCAAACCGAATTATTTCGGTTTCTGATTCTTGGAACCGAATCCAAACCGAATTTGGATTCAATCCAATCCAATCCAATCCAAACCGAAATAATTCGGTTTTGAAAAATGGATCCAATCCAAACCGAATTTTTCTGGGCTGTTGATTTGGGCCTTAAAATTGGGCTTTTAATCGGAAGTTTGTTTTGGCCCTTTTGTAGGCCTAAATTGGTGAATTACAATAGTTGGTCTTTAAGCCAAAAATTTGCCAAATTAAGGGAAAATCATAATAAAAAAAATTGTCCAGCCATTAGAATAAAATTACAAACACGATAAAAGTCTTAAAATGGAATAACAGTCTACAATGAGTCTACATGCAGCTAAAACCATAATAACATCAACTAAAATCAATATGGTAGATTGACAGCAGCTAGAATCAACATGGCAGGCAGCAGCTTCTTCATTTCTTCAACATGGCAGCTTCAAACAATCAAGCTCAACGATATCTAACAATAAAAAAAATAAACATGTTACATAATATATATAAATAAAGAAAAGGAAATCAATATAATCAAATTCGAACAAACAAAACATCAATGTCGCCAATTTAAACATTATAGCACATCAATGTCATCATATTAGCCAATGTCGAACAGATCGAACAACAAATTAACGAATTCAAACAGAACAGAACTATTGAATGAAAACTTGCAAAGAGAAGTGGGAAATGAGTACACATCTAAGAAGAAGAGAAGCAGGAAAAGATAAGTGAAATTAACAGAACGAAAGTGAAATTAATAAGAAGAAGAGAAGCAAAAAATGAGAATTCTTACCCTTGAGTGACTGAGTGAGAGGAGATAGTGAGGGAACGCGAACACGAGCGGCGCCGCGGCGGTGAACTGGTGGTAATTTTAGGGAGCACAAAACCACGAACACAAGCGGCGGTGAGAAACGAGATCTGCGGGAGCACGAAGCCACGAACACAAGCGAACTGATGGTGATAGACGTTGACTGGATATGTGGTGAGCGGACTGAGGAAGGTGGTGGTCGGAGCTACTGGGGTGGTGAGGGAGAAAATGGGGAAATTTTGGAGGATTAGGGTTTGGTGAGGAATGTGCCGCAGAAGAGGGGAAAAAAAGACTGGGATAAGAGAGGAGTATTTTAGGGCTTTAGTATATATATGTAGGGTAGGAGAAATGGGCTGGGATATTTGGGCTTCATAAATTTCGGTTTGGATTTTCGGTTTTCGGTTTTTGGAAGCCCAAAACCGAATCCAAACCGAAATATTTCGGTTTTGATTTTTTGAAACCGATCCAAACCGAAAACCGAAAAAAACCGATCCGAATTGCTATTTCGGTTCGGTTTGGATCGGTTTTCGGTTTTTATCCAAATTACTTTCACCCCTAAAAGGAGGAATAGGGGGTAGGTGGGTCACAGCTGTAACTCTAAGTCGGATTTGTTTTTAAAAAAAAGTTATCATATCACGTGAGGGATAGGAGAAATTTTCTCCTTTATTCATATCTACTTCTTTGGGCCCACTCACACCTCATTCTCTTTAAGGACTTGTTAGTACACTTGTTAACATAATTTGTTAGTACACTTATTAACATAATTTTACATACTGTATGATTTATTTGTTAAAAAAAATGACGTGTCCCTACACATGTGTCCAAATGTCGGACAGTGTTCCCGTGACCTAAAATTTTGAAAATTTCCGAATCTGATACTTGGACACGTGTCTGTGTTCGACACCTGTTCCCGAGTCCAAGTAACATAGCAATAATTATTAAATGTTTGGGATGTAAATTCCCCAACATTGTCAAGTCTTATTTTCTTTATTGTATGATCTGAGAATTGTGCTCTTCATTTGAATTTGGGCAAGTAATTTTGCAAAGGCAACATTTCTACTTGAAAGCAGACTGACATGTGACCATCGTATAGAAGCATCAATTAAAACCATGAAATATCGAAATGGTCCACATGTCTGATTCATTGGCCCACATATATCTCCCTGAATTCTTTCTAGGAATCAGTAACAATTTTGTTCCTAGATGGCCTTATTATTAATTTGCCAAGTGAACATGCAAGGCATGTTAATTCTTCTGATCGAGGAATTTTGACATTTCTTATTGAATGTCCAACTGTATTTGCTATTATTCTTTGCAGCATCCCAGTTACTAAATGTCCCAAACGATCATACCATAAAATAATCAAATGTTGTCATCTAACTTCTTGTTAGATATCATATTGATTTTCACAGGTCGTATGTTTATACGATATAACCCCGAAGAATATGCCGACAATTTCTCATAAATATGTTTCTTGCCATGTTTTTTTGCCGTGAGTATATATACTCCTTTTGATCTGTTGTCATTGTTTTTAAATGAAAGCCATTTTGGCGTACATCTTTTGAGCTTATGAGATTTCTTCGAGATTTACTCGAATATAAAGTATTATTGATTATCAATTTTGTCCCATTTGGAAGCATTATACAAGCCTTTCCAGATCCTTTAATTAATTTTGCTGACCTAGAAATAGTTGTTGGAGAATCATTAATTTAATGACTTTGGGTTAATGGTTAAGGTGATCAGATTATAATAGGTAATTGAGATTATGATTTTTTTAAGTAAGGGCAAAGTAGTAATTTTATATGAAAAAATTTACCAAAAAAAAGAAAGAAATATAAAGTTGCAACTAATAGGTAGCACCCCTAAATGGCAAAAGTTGCAACTAATATGTAACGGAGGTAGTATTTATATTTACTTGAAACAACTTTAGTTGTGAAAAATATTTTCTATCCTTCGAGATAGTATGTGTTGTTCCACTGTCCAAAAGTCATTGATATTCGGAACTAACGTCAAGCAGATCCGTATCTTCATAAAATAAAGGTTTTTTTTAGAAAATATCACCATAAATTTTGCAAAAAATGGATTATAACACTAACAAAAAAAGAACTTTAATTATAACACCAAAAAAACACAAAAAATGGATTTCACCACCACTTAACGGTTCTTTGGATGAAAACCGTTAGTAGGGCCCTCAAATTACATGTGTCAATAATCTAATGGTTTAAAATAATAAAAAAAAAGAAAAAACCTTAACCCAACCAAGCCCCACCACCTGCCCTCGCCACCGACAGCCCAAACCCAGCCGCCAGCACACCCCTTGCCCCCACCAAAACCAGCGACTCAATTCAACCCCTTCTCCATCCCCGAAAACCAACCCAGCCCCCTAACCACTTCACGCACCACATCAACCCACCAAAGCAAAGCACGCAACACTTCACGCACCGCACTGACCCACGCTACTACCTTGCGCACCGCACCAACCCACATAACCACCAGGTGCACTACACCTCCACATCAACCTCGTGCACTCAAGAGAGCAATTTGGGTTCAATTATCGACAATTATGGTTTAGGGTATGTTGATTTCGATTGTTTTAGGGGTAGAGGTGGCTGCTATGATGGTTTTCGGGAAGGGGGAAAAGAGTTAGGAAAGGGTTTGTTGATTTGGAGAAAGGGAAGGGCATGGCTGAGTGGTTCTACCCGTGAAGTAGCGGGTTTCGGCAGCGGTGGAGAGAGTTCGGCTGCCGGCGGTGGCAGATAGGGCTGCCGACGGTGGAGGAGTATGGATGGGTTAGGTTTTGGTTTTTTTTTTTAAAAAAAATATATAATTTTTTTTAACCAATAAAGCATTGACACGTGTCCAAAGTGAGCCCCACGTACTAACGGATTCCATCCAAGAATCCGTTAAATGGTGGTGAAATCAAATTTTTGTATCTTTATGTGGTGTTATAATAAAAATTTGAGATTTTGCGGTGTTATAATCCATTTTTTAAAAAACCTAAAATAAATATGAGATTAGTTTAGAATAACATCATACAAACTTTTATTGGTGATAGAAATTAAAAGTACATAACTAGAAATTTAAAATACATTACACAACAGAAAATACATAAAAACATAATATATATTACATTAGTAGATGGGAAATCTGAAAATCTAAGCATTGTTATTTTCTTTAAAGATGAAATCATTTCCAATTTCAGCATTATCCATGAAATAATCAGACACATCAAAGCTGGGACAAGGAGCATTTTCTTCATTAACATAATTTGCTTCTTCATTTTTCTCTTTGCCTTTTATATTACAAACTTTTATGGTTAACAGATTGAGATTAAATACACAAAACTTGTTTTATTTGATTTTTCCAACGAAAATCTGCACGAATTATGGTTCAATTGGTTCAAATTCATCTGCCCCGCCCCGCCCCGCCCCACCCCATTGACATCCCTCACCTTACGCTTTGGTGGTATTCTTCACTTTTGTTCTTTTATTTAGATGTTGTGCTCTATTACGACTTTCATAGACATGATACAGTAATTAACTAAACACAAAAGGTGAAGAATAGCTCAAATGGTTATAGCTTTTTCCCTGATTTTAGGGGATCACAGGATCGATTCTCATCATTCGTTCATATGGATCGCTAAACACCAAAAACAAATTTGATAATCAAACATGACTTGATATTTTACCGAAATTATAAATAAATTTTGGGTTTTTCTACACAATA